ACCGCGGGAATTTCAGCCCCCGCTGTGTGAGCCACGGTGGTGCCACGGCGGCTGTGTCACGGGAAGAGATCGCGGCACCCCCTTCCTTCCTTCCCTTCGACGTATTTTTATGACGTGAACCACACGCAAAGCGCCACGCGATCTATATACCTCGGTTTCCCACCTCGTCGCGGCTGAAAGTGGTCTCTCGCTGAGCATGGGGCGATCCAATTTTCTCCTCAAGGCTTCTCCCTCGAAAGCGGGCTTCCCGTAGGGCTTTCTTCCCATCGAGATGGGAAGCTCTAAGGTTAATGAATGAATTCAACGGAAGAACTATATTCGCCGGCGAAGGCAGCGGGCTATTTCGTCTCATCAATATTCTATCGAAGTCGATAGAAAGAAACTGATCTATCTATTTTTAATTCTTACTAATTAAATTCGAGCGCGTCTGAGCATCCTCTTAAGAAAATTAATTAATTAAGAAAATTCAACGCTAAATAACGATGCGCTTGTACTGCCAAATTTTACTACCGCGCGCCTGCGACGTAACTTTAATTAAGGAGGCATTCGGAATGTCGAAAGCAAATTATTAGCTGCGGCGGCGTTAAGCACGAAACCGCCGTGCCGCCGAAAGAAGCTTGTATCGGCAAGAGGCGGTTCAATTTTTCACAATCGTCGTAAACAGGATCCAAAGGACGTAACAGCTACCGAAATGGTCGCCTCGCTGGTAAACCGGGGGTCTCCGAGAGATCCCGGGGCCCGATGAGTATCCCCAAGGGAAAGCACGGGAATTAAATCTAAATGAAAGATCTGTGGGGGAGGGGTGAGGAGAAATAAAAATCTCTTTCGGCGTTCCTCGGACGCATCATAAGTAGCGAAGGCGAAGATAGGTAGGAGGCGAAGGAAAGAGGGCAGAGGGGGGAGGGGGAGTTGTAGGGCTATCTCTCCCGGATCTCAATCTAAAGACTCCGAACATATTTTCTCGAGTTTAGAGTCAGGCCCGGCTCCACCATTGGTCGCCGTGGAATCTACGTCCATCGGGGCCGGGATCCTTCCTTCTTTCCCTTCTCTCTTCCGCCTCTCTTTCTCTCTCCCCGTCCTCCTCTCGATTTCTTCTACCTGTTCGCCGCGTTCCCCCGAGATCAAAGCACGCCGACGCCAGCAGCCCGGTCCGTGGGGTGTCATCCGAGATGAAGGGTGGGAACGAGCGGTTGCAGGAAGGGTCAGGAGGGGAAGGGCCGGATAGGGCACCCAGGGAAAGGTGGCCATACAATATTCATTAATGCGCCGAGGTAAGGTCGCTGGGGGTATTTCTCTGGAGGATGAATCGAGAATTGAGTATCGCCGGCGTGGCGGTATAAATCATAGCATGCCTGTGAAATCGATCGGAGGGGGGGAGGGGAGAAAATCCGTTGCCTGACCCCATAACGACATCACGTAAAAGAGCTAAAAGTCCTTCGGGAAATGAGGCCGATTCTTGAATGACGACTTATGCGCAAAAGCAAGCGATGTATTATAAATGACTTGGCATAAAAAAATTATCTTTTGCGATATTGTTCAAATGAATGTTTTCTATAGCGTATTACAGTTCTGTCCGCCAACTCTTCGCTATCCTGACAATGAGATTGTAAGCGACACGCCATAAAAATTTATAAAACACATCCGAGATGGATGATACGATATGATACGTTTAGGACGAACACAACGCTCCAGCGAGGATCATTTTCGAAGTTAAGATCGCGGGACAATAGCGTTCGTGTTCCACGGTCAATCCTGCATTTTTTTTCAACGGCTATCGACCGTCTGGCATCTGGCTTGTCGTCGAGAAAGATTATATGACTCCATCCTCATCTTTTGCCTAGTCAAACGAATCGTCCAATCAATTTAACGATCATTTTTTTCAAAATATACTAGAATTTTTTTAGAAAATTTAATGAACCGTGCTTCTTTATTCTGAAATTATTTTGGAGAATCTTAAGAGATATATGTGATATTAAGCCTCGATAAAAAATATTTCTGCGAGATATGACGAAGCAGCAGTAAGAAATAACGGTAAATACGCGATATTAAGCCGCGATACTGAAGTAATGGATGGATGTCATTAATTTTGTGTTTATTCAGTTATCAGCAGTTAATGCAAGAAGACCCCCTCAGTGGTGTTATCGCCAAGTCAGCGGCGCGATAATGCGAGTGTGTGCGCACGCTCACGTATCCTCGCGCTTTTGCAAACCCATTCCTTCGTCTTTCTTGGAAAAAAAAAAGGATGGCGCAGACTGTAAATAATCGCTTACGTTATGGATAAATTTATAACGCGTACGTGTGACGGAAGGCGCAAGTAATTGGATGTTGTCGCGTCTTCTTCAATTACGGTACGGTTAGACGTTGAACAACCTTTCCACGAACTTGAGAACCGCTCGCGCTGATAGCAACAGGTGGATCTTGATCTCGACAAGCTTGAACTTGTTTACTTCGAATTGCCAGACGTACGAGTCGCGACGAGATTAGATTGCCGTTCAATTAGCACCCCGACGAAGAAGCGTCACCAGACGGCATTTCGCTCTCGATGATGCTTATAAATGCAAATAAATCGCAATAGAGAAAAAGTCTCGCGTTCTAAAAATCTTTGAATATCATAGAGTTATTTAAATGAAAAGAAAGAAATGGGTAAATAGAAGAGAGAAAAATGCGGTACTGATGCCTCGTCGCACAACGCGATTGCGCTATAAATCAGATGATCAACGGCCGAACAAAGGCCACGGCTTGCATAGCGCGATAAAGGGAGGATTTCTCACGGATCATCGGGTCCATCTTCCCTTTGTGTGATCGAAGAAAGTCGACGGGTTTCCCGGGTTTTGTTCGCGACGCGTCGCCGATCGGCGCGATCATCCTCCACGGGATGGAAAAACGGGACGAGGCTTGTCTGACTTTTCATCCGTGGAGAATGGACCCATTATCTCACGCGCGTGTGGTGCGCGTTTACGACATCTGTTGTGTCTACGAGAAGCGTATTTTCCACTCGGGAACGAAGTGGCCTTTGTAAATCGCTTTTGGCGTTACGATTTACAACAGGGAGTTAAGCATCTCGATTAATGGCGCCGTTAATTATTTACGTACGCGTTTACGGCCCGTTGCGATATAACGTGACAAACAAACGAAATGAAAGAGAAAATTAAGTGCTCTTCATTTTCTAAATATAGTAGAATGACATTGAACTTCATATCGCGTGAAATATTTCAATTTCAAAATGTCCCCGAGGAAAGACGTGGCGCGTTTGAATAGCGGAGCATTCGGAAACAACATCCGGAGAACGTGAACTCGACATCCCAATGTGGATAGATAACGTGGAATAATTCTAACATGCCGCCGAGAATGAAAATAATATCACCTTGACCATTTGTCCCAGTGATTAATGGCGTTGCGCCTTCGAGAGATTAGTCGGTCAAAGGAAACGTCATCGTCCCTCCTCCCCCTCCCCCTTAATTAGCGTGTTAATTCCGAGTATTTAGATAAGGTCTGGAATTGGCCGATGTTTACGAAAGTTTACCGAGAGCCAATCGCATGATTGCTCGGTGCAAATGTTGTCGCGACAAATGATTCGTGGCAAATCGGATTATGTAACGTGGAATTTTTCCTCTGCTACGCGTGCGATACTCTATGTCGTGACGCGCCGTGGAACGCGTCGCGGCTCGATGATAGCGGATGCGTCGATCCCCCTTTTTCCATATCGCGAATTTATGTTGGACTCCGTACCGTGCGTCAGGAGTCCTGCGTATAGGCGTAATTGAGAGTATACCATGCGGGCTGACACTGAGCATAACTACCGAGCGGCATCGGCATTGCCTAACGATCCTGTTGATTTCTCCGAGGTCATACCGCACGGAGATCATCGTGATCATCATCATCATCGGCGCGTGCTCGTCCAATTATGAAAGCTCACGCCTACGGTCAGATGTCGTTTAATTCTTTATCCACTCCAATATCTCCGCTCCGATCGTCTCGCCGACGCTTTTAATCATCGTTCCTTTTAAGCGCCGCACGAAGACGCAAATCGCCTCTCCTGTCCGTTATCAATTACGTCATCGGGCCAGAAACGTGTTCTCCGGCAAGACCGCGGCGACCTTCACCGGATCGCCTTTCGAAACGACGACAAGCGGCCACTTCCTGATGACGAAGGCCCCCCCGGATCGAAGGTGCCCCCGGCGCGGCGCGGCGCGGCGCGGCGGCCACGGCCGTCGTCCAGGGTCGATCGCTGCCGTCATTTTCGCGAGCGCGTGATTCTCCGCCGCCGGGAAGAAATTACCGGGCCAACGACGGCGACCGAGTCTGTTGACTCAGCTTGCAGCCCGCCCATTCACACCGACGCGTTAATACGGCAGATAATACATCGCCACGTTGTGAAAGATACGCGCGGACTTTGTTCCCACCCGCGATGATCAGCAGCGCGTCGCATGAGGCGAAATCAACGATAGGGGCCACGTCAATTTCGGCGGGTCGTGATTACCATGCGGGGGGTAACCGAGCGTCCTTATCTCATTGTTCACGAGATAAATGTATCTATCCTCCTTTTTTTCGTGGAACACGAATCAATTTTCATTTTGTCAACAGGATGTCAGCGAGAAAGATTTATAATTTTTGCTCATGCGTACAATAACATATAATTCCATTTTAAAGCTTTAAATGATTTATTAATAATATCATTTCGCTTACTTTTGTCATTATGATTTTTCTAGAACATCCAAATTATTTCTAAAAATTAATCTAAGAAAATCATTAGTTACAGACTATTAGTCTTTATATTATTAAAATAATTCTTAACATATGAGTTCTACTTTCGCAATGTAATATCTACAATCGGCTACATATATTTTATAACAAATCGCTGTTCAATTAGTTCCACGTCGAATCGAGTTGATATTAACTCGTCTGCTAAGGCGTTACTGTTACGAAGCTGGCTAATACGCGACAAACTGTTATCAGTCTTCTTCTCTGTGCTAGTGATACTCATGGAGGGGCAAGCGATAGCGCGACAATATATAAGCTTGCACATTCGTCTCTGCCATCAGTTTGATATTTCCGTTTCGTTTTGCTGCAGTATCATTTGTGTGATATTCTGATCACGTCGAGCTTTCATCTCGAGCATTCGAGCGAAAATAATTAAAAAGAAAAAGAAGTACGGTAAATAAATAGCTGCAGATCCTCCAGTGTGCTATAAAGGGACCAGCCAAGGCGACGGCGCAACTACAGCTCAATTGGCAAAGATTCATTGCTCTTCATCCTCGAATTCTCTGACCATTTTTACGTCTTTCTTCTCTTTCTCTTCGACGCAGCGTTTCCATCGTCAGTAAGCGCGGCAAGCCATACGCGCTCAGAAAAGATGGGACTCTCTTAGCATCGACTGAGCCGTTCTCGCGATTACCATCGATTAAATCGTTCGCTGTCCTCTGAATCGAATTCAGCTAATCGGACCTCAGCTACTTTCAATCGTTGTTGTATATATTCGGTGAAAATAACACGCGCGAAGACTGTCTCCGGAAGTGCGACGGCAGTATTTTATGATTCGTTCGCCGCGATTGTCCAGCCCAGTTATGTTCTCGATCAAGTACAGCAAGCAATTCCTGAGCTACCGTATACTCAAGTCCAACCGGTTCAAATATATCTGACGATACGGACTCGGACTACGTGGTAGAGGGTGCGCGCAAGGTGGTGTGTGTGTATTGTACTACGGGCGACTTGTACCTACGGTGCTCAGGAAAGCAGAGACGAGGGTGCCCCGACAAGACCTGGAAAGTCTTGTAGAGTCCAATGGCCGAATCGGCTTGCACGGCGATGCGAGCTTGAGGAAGTACGTCGGACTACGACGACGCGACAGAAAACTGGCGTCATCGAAAATCGCTAGTGAGGCGAATCTTTCGAGAGCAAGGGGCACACGGGAGCTTAGAGGAAAAAAAAATCGTTTGCGGAACAAACTGAATTGGTAATGACGATTGATGAGATACTTCATCGTCGAGGAAATTTTTAACAAGAAATAAAGTATCACAATTTTTGGAATAAGCTTGCCAAGAAAGCGATATAGCGAAAAAAATCTGACTGATAACGACGAATTATTTTATTAACAAAAAAAGTCTTGAGCAAAAAAATTAAGATTGACAATCAAGACTTATAAAATTTTATCAAGCCGTGAAAGGCTGTGGCAGTTGATAATTTTATTGTTGAGGGAAGTTTCAAACAGAAAAATAAATCGAATATTAGTCATTAGCGAGACGATAAAGTTCTGAGGAGACTCCCTTTGAGGGACGGATTTATCTAGAGTAACGACATCGCTCGAGGATAATACGCTTGTATGTCAGCTTGTGAAAGATCATTATTAGAGCGAAAATCGAGCGGCACGATCAAAGTTGAGAAATCACTCGGAAATTCCTTTGAAAGAGGCACTAAACGCGACAACCGTCACGTGCACATTCACGTGTATACATTTGCACGATACGCACATCATCAGGTGCGCGTAATCAGGCCTGCATAAAACGCGAATTAAACGAAATCACTAATTAAAGCGACGATCGAGCGAAATCTGCACGTCTTTGGCAAATCGGTGAAATTGATTAAAGTCAAAGGCAAAAGTTAATGAGAAAAATGATCGTTTATGTTCCGGGCAGAATGCCAACTCACGTTGGTCCCTACGGCGCCGCTCGTTACCCGGGCACCCTGCTAGGAGCTGTCCCGGGTTTTTACAGCCCGGTTTCCGGCTACTCCACCAGCCCGGTCTCGAGCTACTACGGGAGCCTCCAGCATCAACCACCGCTGGACCTTCCGGTTTGGCCGCGGAGGATGCCGGCCGAGGAGGAACTAGGAGCCTCGCCGGCCGCCGGTTTGACCGGCCTCGGGGTGTCTCCGAGCGCCCTTGGCAACGGCGGTCCCCCGAGTCCGGCGCACAGCGACTCGGACGCGTCTAGTTCGAGCTTGGAACTAGGTACCATCAGGACCGGCGAAAACGCCCAATTAAAATGCAGGTAAAAAACCAAAAAAAACATTAAACGTTTACATTATTGTACTTTCGTAATAAAACGTAACATAAAAATCACGAGATAAATCGAATAGAAAAAAAGTATACAAAAAAGTAAAAAATTATACATATAATAATTTAAATATATGTGATATATAAAAATTTTAATATATATTATAAATTACAAATTATATATACTGGATTAACGTAGCTAAAATTATATATTTTTAAATATATCCAAGAAACAGATCGCTGGATCGATTAATTGGCTCGGGCATTACTTTTCAACGAGTACACTGCGCTCAATATTATTGTTATTAAAAGACCAATTAAGATAGGAGTGAGAAAGATAAAGTCGCGACATCGTGTTATTTTAAAGAAATTCAGTATCGTCGTTAAACGTCATCAGGAAAAGTCAATACTTCTGCTTTTAGTTAGATTATTCAAATCACATCAAACTTAGCATTAGTTTAGCACTTGTTTACGGTTTTAGAATGTATGATACAGATAGTTTCCCACTCCGGTTTTTTGAGATATATGAAATCGCGTTATCTAAATGCAACACAGATTTCTTGTATCGGTCGGTATACTTGAATCCTGATTGACGTCGTTTTCTCTTATCGCAAGACAAGCAATATAATCCTATTAAGCACTTCTATTTATCTCTCCTCGTTTTCTTCCGTTCGAATTTATCCAAATCAATTATTTTATCTTAATCCGCGCGCATGCATTTTTTCCACCTGTTATCTTATCTTTTTTCTACCTTTGTACCTTAACATTTTTCCACGTACGCTTTTCTAACGACTTTTATCTGATAAATCTATTATAAAATGAAACGACAAAATAATGCGTTTCACGCATCTTATCCTTCGCGTCTCAAGAAATTGCAACAAGTAGTGCAATCAAGGCGATCAAATGTCGACGTCTCGCTTCACTTTGCACTTTGTCGTAGACATTGTGTTCCTCTTAAACGGCGCTAATTTATCTCTCTCGATATAGATGCCACATGTCCATACGCGCTTACACGTGCCGGTTACATACCGGTTACAACCAGTTTTCCGTATCTCGGCTGATATCGCGCGGAGGTCTTTACTGCTTCTCAGATACTCGGAGAAAATTCTGTAATTCATCTCGACAAGTGCATCTACCGTCTCGGAACGTACGAGATTAAGAGCTCGACTTGCGGACTCGTTTTCTTCCTCGCGCCTTTTCGCGGAATTCAGATCTATCCGACGCTCTGTCCGGGGACAGCTTACCCTCGCGGGAAGAGGATTGGTATCTCTAATGGTAAACAGGTTTGCGACCGGCTCGATTTATATATTCAAAGTCTACGCGCTCTCTCGATAAAATTTAGACTCAACACAAGGCGAAACGATAGCGATTTTGCCTTCGGATAACGAATGAAAGAAGGAAACTGTTGATTTTGTAAAGCAATGAATCATTGACTGCTGGATGGTACGTGTTTAAACACATGTGTAGATAGTACCATATATAGTTTTCATTAAAGTTAATTTATCTTTCATATGCACGATACATCGATTCTGCCTTGTGTTATCACGACGCAAATAAAAAATTAAAAAGGGTCTTCGTACTATCGCGGAGTTTTGGTGGACGCGATTATCACGAAGAAATTACTTCTTTCACGCGGTGGGCACGTGAAAGCCGGAGCGCTCGCTGTGATCATAGAGAATATCATTCTTTCCTATCAAGACACTTGCTTATTACATCAACCATATATTTTTAAATATAGCATCTTTTACTAATGTACGCAATCTATCTTAATGGAAAATATCGTTGATTAGAGACTTTTATATACATATTATTTTAAGGTCATGTTAGGTAATAATGTAAAGTTAATCTATAATATTATCTGTCCTGAAGATACATTGTAGTTTGTATAATTCCTACTATTTGTGAATCAAATAATTGGTAAGGATGTTTGACTAATCAAATCAGGTTAATCAAATCAGGATTACCATGATCCTTCTGTGGACATATCCCTGTGCCTCTTAATTGAAAAAAAATCGTCGTTGATTGGAATAGTCTCTCCGCACTCGAGTCTCTCTCTCTCTCTCTCTCTCTCTCTCTCTCGCGCGCGCGCGCGCGTCAAACGGCAGCAATTGCAAAATGGCCGCAATTGGTATCAATTGGACGAGCCAGCGAACATTCATATGACGCAAATTACATTTCGATACTTCAGAGTAGCGTCGAGCAGCTATATTTACGTATCATCCTTGATTAATCTCAATTCGTGATTTCGCAAAGTGGTAACTAATTTAAAAAACAGATAATAAAATTACGTTGTTCTTGACGTTACATTCTTTATCCTGTGTTAAAAGAATTAAATTGTAATATTTCTCTCTTACAGATGGCAAGACTGTGGCCGATGGTTCACGTCCCTGGAGCAACTTGCAGGACACGTTGGGAGATTGCACGCAGCGCCCGGTGTGCGGGGTCTGTTTTATTGCGGATGGGAAGGATGCGCAAGAGGCGAGCGTGGGTTTAACGCGAGGTAAAATTTTTTCAGCTGTATAATATTATGCGCGCGTAACACAGAAATCACTTTTGCATTCTTAACGAACACTTTGCGTTCCTCTCGTGCAGGTACAAGATGCTGGTCCATGTACGGACACACACGAATGAGAAGCCGCATCATTGCTTCCAATGTGACAAGAGTTTCAGCAGAGCGGAGAACCTGAAAATTCACGCGCGTTCTCACACCGGCGAACGTCCTTATGTCTGTCCCGTCGAGGGTTGCAACAAAGCTTACTCGAATTCTTCGGATAGATTCAAGCATACTAGAACTCATTCTGTGGATAAGCCATATTATTGCAAGGTGCCGGGTTGCCCCAAGAGGTACACCGATCCATCGTCCTTAAGGAAGCACGTCAAGACCTACCGCCACTACGTGAACAACAACGACAAGATCCAAGAGAAGACCTATGACGATAGCAACATCCAGGAGAAAACGAGATTCGATGCTTCGCCCGACAAGCAGAGCAGCAGCGCGCATTCCGAATCGGACAAAAAGGACTCGAGTATCGAAAGCGTATCGGGTTGCAGTCCAAAGACCAGCAGCTTCGAGGAGCAAAGAAACTTTGTCGAGTGGAACAACATGTACAATCTTCAGGAACAGCGGAAAGAACAGGAGCAAGTCACCCCGCCCAAGCCGTACGAGCAGGATGTGAAGATCTATCCTAGGATGTACGATGACAGTTACATTATACCGGACAGGATTCAAGTGAATCCCATGTACGCTTCCAGTAGCACCATCATCAAGGACTGCTCTGTAGCTTCCTCGTCGCCTCATACGAGTCCCGGTCGAGTGTCCGATTCGATGCCGCGTATTGGGATGCAGTCAACGCCTATCAAGACCGAGGAACCCATGGAGTACAGCGTTACCAAGGCCACCACGGTGGATTATAGGAACATCGAATCGATCGTCAATAGTACGCCCTGCAAGAAGGAAAACACGGTCAGTTGCGATCCCGTGAGGCACTCTGTAATCAAGCGGGCGGAGGATCTGAAGATGGAGGTCGAGCAGACGCTACTCAAAGAGGAATCGAAGGACACCAGCGGCGACTGTTGTTGTCGGCACAAATGTTGCGTGCACAGCAATGACAGCATCCTACAAAAAACAAAAATCCTTTCAGATCTCATTCTCAAGTCGCAGAATCCGCTCTTTCGGCATCTATTGGGCTCGGTGGATTTGCAGTATGGGCTGGAGAATATGTGGAGCAACATGGTAGATACTAGTAACACATGCGGCCAAGACCTCAGAGTAAAAGACCTCAGAGTAAAAATCGAGAACGTCACTGAGATGGAACAAGACCTGCCACTGGACTTGACGATCAACAAATAACGAACAATTAGCTATCAACATACCAAAAAGCTCGTAGTCGTCAATACGAATTTTATCTTTATCATTTGACAAAATACGAATTAAACGAAACGCCATGATTTTAAACGCAGTCAATCAGTATAATTTAATTGATCAACAAAGAAAAATTACTGCATTATTGAAATGAAAAGTTTCGATTGTATTGCGAAACCAAATATATTTTAATACCTTATAATGTGAAAAAAAATGACAAAATGAAAACAATCCAAGATTGGACAAGAATTTGCTCAATCCGCAGCTGTCTAGAAATAGTTGCACTAATCGAACCGTTAATCGGAAAAATAATCGGACTAGCTATAAGTGCAACTCGACAATTTTAATCAATTACTTGGAGTAATTACTTACAATGTTCCCGCTTTCGAATTGGCTACTAAAATTGGATAAGATACTAATACAGATAGGTAGCTGAAACAATAATAAAAGTTAAATTGGGAACTTATTATAAGGCTGTAAATATATCTGAAAAGTACGCACAAAAATGTGAAATAATTGGCTCTTGCCCAGTAATTTAATTTCTGTTAGAATTGAATTTCAAGAGTTAGTTTTTATAATGTAAGACGCTTAATAATCAGTACTCTATGTAAACAAAACATATGTATCATATGTATATAGAAATTTATATGTATGTATATGTATGTGTGGCGAGTCAATTGATAAATGAAGTAACATGGAGTAAAGTACCCAGAGAACATTAAGACATCTTATAGGATATCTAAAAGACTTCCTAAAATTTTTTAGGCGTCCTATAAAATTGTCAAAAAGAGGAATTTGACATCTTTAAGACGTCTTATGTCACGTCTTTGAAATATTGTTTTAAAATGCTTTAAGATATCTTATTTTTATTTGTAGACATATTGCGAAGTAAACATTAGTGATGCGGAAATACTTTAATAAGAAAAAATATATAAATGAAAAAATAGCGTTGGTTTATCAATAATTTAATATTTACATACATAATTTTGTTAACAATCTATCTCTTATTTTATATACAAATATATATATAAATGTATGTATATCGTATTAACATACAATATACATACATATATACGTATTAATTATACTATGTATTTATTAAAATATATATATAAAGATATATATATTATAATAGATATAAATTTTTATCGATAAAATTATGTAAATATTAAATCATTGATACACTTATCAAGTTCCGAGATCTTTCTCGTGTTCTTCTTCTTGTTAACGTTTTCTTTTTTAGCTTTTTCGAAAAGCTTCGCCTTATGTCACCGAATAATACAAAATATTAGAACGCCAGGTTTAAATTTACATTTTTATAAATTATATTATATTGAGATTGGCCATGTCTATTTAATTAATAAACGTTATAACAGCAATGTAAATAATTGCACATGCTCTAAAAAATGTCTTATAAAAAATAATATACAGACGTCTTTTCAGAAAGTTTTTTTAAACACATGTGTTTGTCTGAGGTGTCTTTCTCTACTAGCAGAACGCGTTTAACGATGTGAATTAAATAAAAAAAGAACATTATTTATGTGTTGTTCTTTTCCTTTCCTTCGCGGTAAATTATTTGCGTAATTATTCATAGCTACTTGTAATATAATTAATGTAAATAAAATGCATACGATAATATTATAAAAAAAGATACTTGTAAAATTTTTATAAAGTTACTATGCATGAAATTAATAAAAAATGTTTGCAAAAAGAATTTTAGGGATATAAAATATTGACTGTATTTAAAACATAAAAAATAAAAAATTAACCGATAAAAACGAGAATATTAGTTCATTAGCGAGAATATAGCAAATTGCATAGAAATATAAATTATCATGATTTTCAATTTCAATGTCCTCATTATTTAACTTGAATTTTTAAAATAGTAAATTATTTTTTCAAGCTGTAAAATATAATAAAGCCGTTTAATTATCGACTGCAACATTTATTGATTAAAACGAATCAATGGCGTTATATTGTAACCATTATCTTTTTCAAAAATTTTTTAATAAGTAGATATATTTAAAAATAAGTTTATATATATATAGACATATACAGACTTCATTTTTTACTTATTATAACAGAAAAAAGCTACATATAGTCTTCAAGAAAATTTTATAATTGCAACATTTGTCGCTAGATGGCAATTTCATCCTTGTTGAACATTCCCCTCTACTTCATGTGTGTGGCTTATGACAAAAATATAACCTAACTTCCACTGTCATTAAACAGTTTATTTTATTTAACAAACGCTGTGTTAGAGTAAACGCAATATTCTTAACACAATGGCAAATGATCGGGAGGTACTTCGGGAAATATGGGATGGCAAGATTCCAATCTGTTTTACTCTCAACTCTGAGGAAATTTGCGACTTACAAGGGCCAGATCCCTTTTACTTGATGGTATCTAGATTAAGTTATTTTCCACTGTGTACAGAAAAGGTAAGAGATCTTTGCAGCACAGTTTATAAGAATTTTATTATTGGCATATAACTCTCTACGAATGTACGTGACTGACTGAATAATTTTATCTGTAATATTGAATGTTATTTTAGGTCCGGAAACATTTCATACGGCATATACAAAGCGACAGTAAACAAGAGCACGAGATGTGGCTGGAATTTAATGGAATACCGTTGAAGTGGCACTATCCAATCGGTGTTTTATTGGACATTTATTTCAATGACGTTCAATTACCTTGGAACATTGTCGTCCACTTTGATAAATTTCCAGAGAATGTTCTAATGCACTGTCAAAACAAGTACGTAATAATTTTATGTCAGCAAATTGGTAGTAATCAAATCAAGCAGAACCTGATGGCAGATTGACAATAGAAATTGAGCAGAATCTGCGCCACTGAATATTACAAAACTGCCATTAGGAAATGTCCGTTTCTCGCATGTCAAATTTATGTCGAACTCTCTGCAAAATCAAAGTCTATATAAAAATGCAGACGTAATTGATATCAGTTTTTCTGACATGTCTGAGCAAATCTACTGCCATTCTGCCGAAAATTCTATTTTGCTTAAAGTACAGTTTTATGTAACATTAACACGATTTGTTCGCTCTGTTCGCTCATTTGATAGTTATGCGATATAAATATAATTTTAGGGAAGTTGTAGAGGCACATTTTCTCTCATGTATAAAAGAAGCTGATGTTTTGAAGCATAGAGGCCAAATTGTTTCTAGTATGCAAAAAAAAGACCACACACAGTTATGGAATGGCATTATGAATGATAAATTCGATCAGTTCTGGTCTGTGAATGGTAGGCTTATGGAAGCCAGTACTGAAGAGGGATTTAAATATATTCCATTCCGTTGTTATACAAGTGAAGATAAATATATACAAAGACTTGTAAAACCAATGAATGAAGAAGGCCAAAGAAAAACTTTAAAGCATTTGTTAAATGAAGTGTTCCCAGATCAGGAAAATGGTATTATTATACAAGTTACTCTAATAAGAGACATGTCACAACTGTTTATATAAAAAAAAAACGTATTTCTTACATTTTTGTTTACTACAATATTTTAAGGAGAATCAAATCGATTTTCTGAACAGTGTCGTAATGTGTCTCTTGTAGATGCTATTGTGCATATATATATATATATATTTATTTATTTAATTAAATTTATACTTATTAATTTTATTTTATAGTTACAGTGCGCACTCATGGCATTGTACCACCATTAGAAACGCCGCTTCAATGGATGTCGGAACATTTAAGTTACCCAGATAATTTTCTACATTTAATCGTAGTCACATCATAATATCTATTGAAAAACAGATAATTTTATTATCAGTGATAAAATAATTTTTCTGTGATTTATCATGTACTGTTTTTATTATTTTATGTATTTATTTCATAAAAAAAACTTCCCATAAAAATTCCACCTGTAACAAAATCAATTGGCCTACCAAGGGTGATGTAAAGGGAAAAAAATATATTTACCTGAAATCTCGATACTGTAATGTTAATGGAAACTAAATTTATTGAATAAATAGTTATAACATTTTCTATTCGTTAAGTTATCGCGCATCTCTCATCCGGTTTGTTTTTTTCTATTGATATCCGCGATGATAAGTGAGCATTCCGCGTAATCACAGACTCTGCAGGTTTGCGTATGATAACGGGATGATTTCCGTTGTTACTATATTCCATTGTCCTACGACTGTTTCCGAAGCTAAGGTAACTGACAATTTCCTTCTTTCTGCCTTGTTCTTCCTGCAATAAAAAAAATTCTCGATTAAAAACTTTTGTTTAATTATTTCGTTTAATTTAAATTTATTCGATCTTTTTTTTACTTTGAATATAATCATCGCGGTATCTTGGTATCTCTTATGAATCTCTTCCTTGCTCAAGACAATGGTCACCTCTGGAGATTCATAACACGCAGTCATTTATATATATTCCGTATAATTTTGCTCGCACATTTATCGTGTACTTTCTCCACGACGACGCTTACATCGCCTTCTTCGTACCTGTAATTATAAATCCGGTTAGTAGCAGTTTCTCGAATCCGATATTCATTTACTAAGATATAAATATTTTTAAATGCGGATAGTGTTAATAGAGATAAAAAATATATAAGTCTCTTTCTCTCTCGAGAGATAAATTCAATATTTAATATATAAGAGTGATAGCGATGAAGACAAAACACGACGAAGGAACTTGAAGAGAAAAAGAAGGTGGAGAGCTCTCGCCGAGATAAAAATATGCATAAGCTAGCCTTTCGCAAACGGTGATTTTCTCGCCGTTACAGGAATTACGACGAACGACTCCGTGAGACTTCCTTTCCTTTTTCTTTTTTGCGCTGTACGACATCGAGACACGTGTACCGTAGAGACAGACTTTCGGAGTGCGCTTTATAATTAGCCACCATCGTGAAAATGAGCATCTCTCCCGCTCGAGTGTTATGTGCCTGAAGATCTCTCAGACCGAATTACTATTCAACTGTGACACTCGTTTCGATGTCACGTTAAAGATTATTCTTGTCTCTTTAGTACTCTGTCTCAATTTGTGTATCATCGCGCGTATCGATTTGCGATTACGTTACGTATCTCAACCCTCAATCATCATAGTTGAGTCTAACGTAATCGCGATGACGTTTCAATTTCGAGCTCAAAAAATCGACACCGCATCTATATCGACGAATTTCATTTAAAAAAATATCTTCATACGATGAGGAACGATAGCATGCACGAAATCCACAAATGTTGAAAATTTATTTTGCACAGCTTGTCAATAAAGTTGAAAGCGTATATATCGAAATGGTGTTAAAGGAAGCTTTAATATATCGTTTAAGTTATATCTTTAATCTACGATCGCAAAGAGAGAGAGAGAAGGAATATTTTATGTGGGACATAGAAACCGTGGCCGTGGGGTATCGCGATTGCTAAAAGATTCACGAGTAATAATAGTATTTGACAAATAGCGCGTTATTTTACCAGGATCGCTATATTGACATCGCTATATTGACGCGAAAATATGCCGATTTCTCATTTTGACACACTTCCCTTTGCCGGTTTACTACCTCGGCCACAGCGCGTTCTTGAAGAATCGTCCTAGAAAAATCAACGGACCGCACGAGATGTGCCGAAGAAATAATCGCCGAAACTTTTGTCTGCTCGCTGCACTGTTTGCCTGTTCCGCAAACAGAATCAGAGAGCCACATCGGCTCGGACGACGTTGGAGCAACGCCAGAGTCTTTTCAGTGTGCTTTTGTATTTCCGGTTGGAAAACGGACCGAAAGGTATTCCGGGAGCACGGCGGAGTACCTAAATGCTACACGGCTCGTTATTGTGTTCTTAACGCTTTTCGAGACACGTATAATGCCTGCGAATGGATGACTTGGATTCAAACCATTTAGATGTCGAGCAGTTTAGGTACAAAGAAACCGTTAAGTTGGCGAGGGAAAGCGGAGATCGACACCGTCGGCGATTTAATCTTCATAATATTATATGCACGGAATGTTACATTCCATCGCAGTCATTTTTTTTTATCGTGCCACTGCACCCTTCCTAATTGCGTTGCACCAGCCAGTGACATTTATTGGCGTTGATTGGCGCGTTGCAACAGTCATGCTTCGATTCAAGGTCCGCTCAGCGCGCACGCGGTAGCCGTAATAAAAATGGGTAATGTTATTATAATCGCGATTTAACCGTGAAACTTTAGTGGATAGATTCTCCCAAAGAATGTACTAGCTGTTAATTTTTTTCCTCAAATAATATTTTATATCGCCAATTAATATATATTGCAATAATGCGCATTTCTTCACTTCTTCATTTCTTTCATTTAATCGAAGAAATTAACTTAGTTTCAAAATGACATTTATGAATATTTCGTTAATATTTTTATAAAAGACTCTACTTTATTACATGATGAAAATTTCAAAATATATATAACTAAGATCAATTGTCCCACTGACGTTAAAGTAGCGATCTGTGAAACTGAACTTCATTCTTTCCGCTGCTGCATGAGGTAACAGTTGCTCAACTCGCTCAGGTGCATTGGCACCTAGTCATTTATATTGCGACACAAAGCAAGAGATTGTTTATTCTTATATTCGCTAGCTCATGCAAGTTTTGTTATACGTAAATGTTGAGGTATATTTTTTCATTAAAACAATTTAATATGCTCAAATTCGTTATCATATCACTGTATACAAACTATAATACAAATAAAAATCTGCGGATATAACTAGTGATTAGAAAATACGTTCATTAACGTTTTGCACTTTCTTACTGGATAATTAGAAAATAAATTTGTTAATGTTTTATTACTTATTGGATAAATGACATTTACTGGTTAATCATTATTACCATTAGCTGCAGAAAGTCGGCGCGCGGGTATGGAAATGTGTGTGTCATTCAGTCTATATTTTCCTTTCCTTTTAATGGCGAGCGTTTTATTCCCTGTTACCGGACTCGCAACGATAAACATCGGCAATAAATCATGCATTTACATAGCAGGAATTCACGGTGCGGTATGCATTCTACATCGTTACCTGTGAGATACTTGAACTTCTGCGTACGAGACAGCTATAATACGAACTATATAAGCACATTATAAATCTGTGCACATATTATAAATTAAAAAAAAAAAGAAATTAAAATTATTCGTAAAATTAAAGATCACGGAAGATCTACAGGATTTAAACGATAGTGTGACTTTGAAGATCGGGAACTGTACGAGAAACAAAGTAAATGTGAGCGAGGAGCGTTCTCCGCAAGCCTAACACGTGCAACGTGCGCGCGTGTGCGTGCGTGCCGCCGCGTTACGCGAATTCGAGCGGCCGATGCGTGCCTGGAGAGCCGAACGCGTGAGGCCGTGGTTGCGCGAGCTGCCAATCCAATCGGGCGCGATAATGGAAACAATGCAATCGGTGCATCGGCGCAGGGTATCGGTGCACGGAGACCGAGCCGATGTGCGTGAGCCTCCATGACTTGGCTCGCGCTTATCTCCATCGCGCCTCTAATCCGCGCGGCGAGACGGAGAGCCGAGGCGAGATATCGAGACGAGCGAGCGCGTTCCTCTTCGGCAATGCAGTCGCCGCAACTCGCAAGTTACTCCGCGCAGTCCGCGCAGATCGTGCGCGAAATTACGTAAATCGCTAATTGCGAGAGGAGCGCAGTTCCACAACTTGATATATCTTACTTAAGAACTGATTTCCTCTATCAATCCTTTTGAGACCAAGAAGCAATTGCACTATCGCTATAGAAACGCAAAATTCTCTGAAATGTAAACAAAAAAATATAATTAAAAATATAAAAATAATGATCTTCCTTTATCGCACAATTTAATCATTGTTGATTAAAAAACGTTGGACGGAAATTGAAACGTTTGTAAAATAAAATTAATTTAACTGAATAGATTCACAGATGACCTTGATAATACGAGATAGAAATTGACGTAATTGTTTATCAATATTACGATAAAAATAATTTCAAGTGCGAAAGGTTAAAGTGACGATAATGACAAAATGTAAATTATAATATTATGAAATTTTTCGACTTGTCATTCCTCGTTGTTTCATGATCCAAGCGGAAATACTGGATCATGAATCGATATAACGAGAGAATGGAACTTTTCTCTCTCATACTGCGTCACGCGCGTAACTACTGAAATGCTCGGCAGGAAGATAAATGTTTGTATGATTTGTAGAATCGAATAAGAGAGACCTCGTGAATCATATCAGTAAAAGAAAGAGCTATTGCGTCAAATGCGCTAATGCAATATGCTTTCTTCGAGCCATTCGATAAAATCGTGTCTTTTCAGATAAAAAAAAATACATATGACTTTTCGGAGTCATAGGAAAGATTAATAAATGTCGCGTAGATATGACAGATAGTATCGCATCGCCGATGATGATCAATAATTTTGTACAAAATGTGACAAGTAATACTATTACGAAATATTTGATTTTAAAACTTTTAGCATAGCTTCCATCATTGATCAACATTACCATGTCAATTTATATTTATAAAATAAATTCAAAACGATCAATTTGATTTACTTTTTCAGGTAAAGTTTGGAGAGTTAAACGTACCTCATTATTCATATAAATTATACTTTGATTTTTTTATGTATATTAATGGTCGTATCATCATGAGATAAGAATATTGCTTTAATTTACATTTCTCTGCGATAGACAATATTCTAAAATAGATTCGTAGCTGATGACAGTTGCGTGAACAACTTTATAAAATAAATTTGATAAGTAGGGACAATAATAATAGAATAATATATAATAATAGAAGGAATTATTTTAAAATAATCTCTTATATTTTTTCTCAAATTCGGTAAAGATTCTATATCATATAAAGCGTGTCAAAACGTTGTGAGTGCCAAAAAATGGACATATTTGTGTTGTTTGGCGCGCTTCATACAATCTATAGGCATGTGTATGTGTATATGATACAATATATATTTAATACAATAATTCTTACGTTTCTTATCGTACAAAAAAAGGATTGGTATCTCAATGCCTTTCTCTTGCACTCCTCGGACACTAAGATTATACATTTTCACTCTCGTTCTCCGATACTCACAGTGGTACATACACTCACCCACACATACACACATACGCTCTTTCTTTCTCTCTGTTTTTCTCCCGTTCGTTTCCTCTCGATAAATCACAATGACGGATGTGGTCGATTCAGACAAAATTCGATGAGAAAAAAAGCGTATAATAAAATACAGAATTAATAATATTATCGTAATCGTTTGCAATATGAAAACGCTGATAAATCGTTTGATTCTACGACTATCGCGTTTCTGCTGCCACACGTCGAAAAAACTGCGTGCTTTCTTTTTTTTTCTTTCTCGGCGTTAACCACGTACATACGTGCCAATAAACGCAAGATAATACATCGATAAGCAACACAACCGAATAATACTTGCACACCTATTGCACGCAAGAGTGTGACAAGAGAAACTCAACATTTCTGCGAAATATGTGATCGGGAAGGCATAGAGATGACGGCGCACACGAAGTTACACCAAATCTACCAACCAAGTCTCGTTGTGAGATCGGTGAATCTTCATGTCATTGCGTTACAATAGAATAATAAATAAGGAATAGTTAAAATACTGATATTGCGCGTGAGGAGGGCACTGGTATACATTATTTTTCCGCACAAATACATTACAATAAATACGTACGCTCATCGGCGAAGGATACTTGGCGATGCTTTTGGTTCTCGATTCCTCCTCACGCTAGAACCGTAAGGCACGAGCAATTCGAAGGCACCTGACGAATTTAGAGGCGCATTTATCGTTGTAAGTTGATCATATCAAAATATAATTTTCGATATATATATATATATAATCTACATACACATGATATATATTATATATATGGCTATATGTATGTATACATATATACATATATATGTATTTGTGTATATAATGTGTGTATCCACTTTAAATTTATTATTTAAATATACATATACGCATGTATATGTATATATATATAAATTTTTTGTACACGTACAATACATAACATTATGCATACAACATATTTACTTGTGTGTTGTACGGACTATAAAACACGGGGGCTCGCCCACGAGATTCCCCCTTTTATACACTTAAAAAATATTGCTTGTATACGCTTTATGCCTCTCGTTAACAGACTCTTGTGGGCTACGGTGTGTACGTGACATACGTACTACAACACACAAATACAGACGCATTCGAATGCACTCGAATACACACGCACACAAGACACTCTCTGGCGTGACGACTTATTTTTCGCGCGATCAAAATTTTTGTTATCAGTCATACAGCCCCTTATTACATATATAAAATGTATTATGGCATTATATAATTTATTATGGCTTATGATTACGCTAAATTTTTTTTATTGTACACTGCCGCCTTGACCACTATTACCACGATCGCGGGCAAGGCACAAATCTATTTCCCTTGTTCTATCTTTTGATCCTCGGACTTGGTCGGCGAATTGTTCTACAACAAGAAAGAGATATATTTCCCCTTTGTGCACAATAATAAATGAACAAATTGAAAATTTTTATTATGCACTTTTCGAAGCATAAAATATTAAGTAAAATAAGGTTAAGTAAAATTTTTCTCTGGTTGAAAAAAAAAGAAATATTTTTGATTATATGATATGATATATCGTTCCGCAGGATTGTAATTGTTGTAATTATCATGTCGTGAATTTACTTGTGAGACGATAAATTAGAGCTCGGTACGAAGCGATCGCGCAGGCAATCATGTTGGATAATGCCGCACCATGAATAAGCTCGATTAAGCGTGAATATTGAAACATTAACGTAACTGCCCTGTCTGCAGCAGTGATTTACAAAATTGCCCTTCTTGCCTGTCGCCTGGCAACCGCTTGATTGTTTAGAAATTCACTCAATATCAATTTCCTTGACTTTGATAATTAAAATATTAATGATCTCGATAAAGCATGATCTCAATTACCATGACTTCTGCTTTTAACAATTTATTTTAAATGCGACGTGATTGTTTCAGAATTTGATCGATTGATACGAGGAAATTGAGGAAAACCCACATTACACTAATCGATATCACAAGGTTTTTTCCAGTCTAAGAAAGATATCTCTTGCAATCTAATACGAGTTTCCTCACGATCAACTAATGATGATTCACAAAAGTTTCCCTCCGATAATTCGCCAGCAAAGTCAAACATGAAAGAAGTCGCTTATCTACTCGAGGATCGTAATGCATCTCAATTTCAATGTATTGGGAACGAGAGTTCATTCATTTTACGAAAGACATTTATCTATAATTATTACATTTCTCTGTTCAATTGTTTCCCATCATGAAAGAATAAACAAAATTAAAACTTTAGAATTAGAAATCTGAATTCTCTAACTTTATAAAATAAAAAAATATAAAATAGATAAAAAAATCTTGAAAGTTCGTATAATTACCTAGAGATAATTATACAAAGAAGAATATATGTATATTTCAAAAATTCATTCGTTAAAAGTTAATTACGTAAAAGAATAAAGAGTATCTTACTATTTGAATATTTTTTGTCTTTGACCAAAGGCCAGTTAGAATAAAGAGTAAAGTTTAAGAATTAAATAATTATATTAATTTTTAATTTTATTTAAAGATTCATGAACAGTTTCTATAAAGAGACAGTTGAACAGAAGCATCATCGTTGATTGTCAAAATACAGATACTTTGATATTTCAACCGACAGTACTAATCATACTCATTATTGTTCACATATTATTTAACAGCGGAGTTGATTCGATGCCGATATGTAGCTTCCTTTTAGTCTAAATTATCGGCGTTGAATGAGGCAAAGAAAACTTATATAATTTGAATATGAGTTGTAGATGATATGAATAATCAACAATCACTTCTAAGTTGATCTATGCTAAATACTAATTCTATCTCATATATAATATTATTCTATATATTTAACATTATATAATTGATGCATATCGGTTTGTCTTATCGTGCACGATGTCTCGTACGCGCAATTATACAATTAAGATATAAATATATTACATAAGGCACATAATTTTCTTTCAGAGCCGTTCTCGTGTGTCTTTTTATTTCTTTTTGTTCACCTTGTCCGATTTTACTATCAACTCGCAAATTAATCACCATCGTTTTGCATTCGACAAATATGCAATAATATGCTTCCTGTCACTAATATGTTTAATCTCATGATACCTTTGTCATTATTTAGTAAATTAATTCGCAAACAGCAACGTGAACAACGAGTGAATCCGTTCGCACTTTCTACCGTATCCATTATCTTCTAAAAATATTAATATATGCGATATTACAAGCACATAAATATATACATCTTTAGTATGAAAAATGATTGCCTTACATCGACAAAAAGAAGGCACGAGAAGTGGTCTCTGCGGAAGTGGTTCATTTTCATTGTTTCGAATTCTTATCTCCTTTTATAGTTTTTTTACCTTTTTCATTTTTTTCAAACGGAATCATACAAAAATAGATTATTTCTCCCAAATGGAAGAATCGATTAAACTCTAAACATTTTCAAATAACACTATAATACATATATCCTCTGAATGCATCATAGTCTTTGATGCGGGAATTCAATGTCACATTCTTACTAATTTTTTTCAATATTTACATATTTATATATTTATATATTTACAGACAGGATCTCCATTTAAAGAGAGAACAATGGAAACACGAAAGCAAGAAAAATATAGACAACAACTGTCAAACAATGAGAAGAGAAATGACAAAGTTGTATTATATAATGTGGTGTACGCGTGTGATATATGTGCGCACATGGAAGAAATTGTTTGAGCAATTAAGTGATTTCTGCAGATCGAATGCATATTCACGATCAGTGATGAATGCGATCGCGCGACCAGTTCGCAGAAAGCTATGGGTGGCGTGCTACCAAGAAATCGTGCGATCAACGCCCGTCGGCGGATAGCTTTCCGTAGAAAATAGACAAAATGAAAGAAACGTGACCTGAAAATTGTTTTGTCTGATGCAATGCATCTGTATAGCACAATACGCAATGTCGTTATAAAAAATCGAAATGAAAATTTGATTAGATAAGCAAAAAAGATCGTATGCATATAAAATTATTTTTACTTATTTTACATATCATACTGTAAAAACAAATTTATTACATTTTATGATATTTCATGGTATTTTGGCTCAAACATTTCTTTCTGCGAACTTTCTTTTAATGCGACGCAATGGATGCTTTCTGACATAATTCTGTAATTATAGCAAACGAATTCGACCTCTAAACGGCCTAGCCGATAACCACCGGTCTCTAATCTCGACGATAAAGTGGTGGAAAAAGATCTGCTAGGATATCTATACAATTTTTCGAGAGGAGCAAGCGGATGGCGGAGGGGAGAGTCGAGCAGGTCTGATGAAGTTAGAAGAAGATGCCAGCCGAGGACGCGACCATGTATAATCTCCTTCCACGCCTCTGGTCGTCCAATGGCCGATTAAGACTTTATCGCGATGTATAGCGCGGTACCAACGATCCGTGGAAACGATAAGTGCTTACGTGGTGCGCTACGTGTAGTAGATCACGCACCAATCGATCTTTCGCCGGTACATTCTCATCTGAGAAACCTGCGAGTCCGATTTTTACACTCCCAAACTAATTGAATTAATGCAATTCGATCGTTATCGTGTTTTTTCTACGTTTAAAGAAAATGTCTATATAAGATGGGACAAAAGAAATATAGACCTGAAGGATAATTGTTTCATGAGCCTATAGTTTTCTGTTGTCAATGTTAGATCATTAAAAAATGGGAGCTCGAAAAGAAATTACATGTAGAGTGAGGACACGCTAACAAACGCACTCCTCTGCGGGAATCCCGGTCTATACAGGTCTAAATCAGGTCTCCAGGGCACTCGTAGATTAAGCTCAAAATCATAATTGTGAGATAGATTTTGACCCTCGTTGAAATTACAAATTATCTGACAATTACTGTTATTGTTGTTATTATTGTTGATATTATAACTAATAGGAGATAAATCGCGCTGGACGATGCATTTCTTCACGGGTTTGCTCACGGGATTATCTAAGTAAGGTTTGAAAGTGATGGCATCAGGATTATTCGAAGTCGATACAGTATTGATTGATTTTGTAATCAGTTCCGTTCGAGAGAATTCCTGTGCGGATTTTGGTTTTACGAGACAAAGAGGTGTATCTTGAGGAGGTACGTCGTAGGAGTCGTCCATATCTGGGTACCTTTCGCAAGATCTTTTCGGTGACGGCATCGCATCGTAGCAGCCAGCAAGCATACAATGTTGTCTCTTCAGAGGTGAAAATCTTTGCTCGCATCCCTCAGAAAAATTGGAAATCACGGAATTTGCTCTGGGAGAATAACAATATGTTTTAATCGAAGACTCTGTGTAACAGGATTCTCTTAAAGACAGATCTTGATAAGAAGATGTCGTCGACATCGTAGTATGACTGTCTATGGAACAAGATAGATTGCAGGGCGCTACGGATTCTATCTCAGAGGATGGTTCTATTGCGGTGCACTGTTGATAATTTAAGGGATGTTGAGAAGAAATAAAACCATCGCCAAGAATGTGCGTTGGCAATCGTTCATGTTCAATCTCAAGTCGGTCACGTAACAACGAAACACAATTCGTCACTTGTCGCAACGGAGCGTAATTTGTCGTTGTCAAATCCAATGGTGAGTCACCCTGGATAGGACCTAATCGTTGACGCAAATCTCCTCGAAGAGCGATTTCATGTCTGAGATATTTCTCTTGATCCAGCCATTTCTGTACCTGGCGACGATTTATGCCAAATTTTCTCGCGGTAGCTCGTTGATTTTTTCTTACTTCCTTATCTCGATGGTAAGCATCAAGAACATTGAGTTTAAAGCACAGAGAAAAAGATCGTCTGCGAGTAAAACTGCCGGATGAATTTAAGCTGTTGGTGGAAATGAGGTGATCACTATCCACTTCACTATCCGACCAGCTGCTTCTTCCCCCTGGACCTTCCACTCTGGATCTTCCAGCGTTAGCACAATCATGAGGACTCGAAGGCAAGGAGTAACTATTGCGATCGTATATAAGGCTTACTGATCCTGAACTATCTGTGACTAGTGACGATCCACCAACAGGTGGTCGTTGATAGTCAACGCACGAGGACGCAGTTACTTCTTCCCCTTCATCGTACGCTTCTTCCTCATCCAAGTGCACTTCTTCTTTAATCAACGTTCTGCAATATTCTGTCTTCTGCATTTCTTCCTCTCTCTTCTCTTCGGTATGCTGCGTTGTCTCCTCTGACTCTCTCTCTTGCTCGTGCAAGAGCGATGGGATCGGCTTCTCGGAATCCAACGGTGGGCACGTGTGTGCGTGCTCATGCGCGTGCACGTGCAAGTACGGGCTCGCAGGAGCTCGTGAAGAATCAACGAAGTGAACGGACGACGAAGAGCCACCGCTATCAGCCCCTCGATGCGATACTGGGGACGAGAGTGGGGCCCGTGGGCCACCGGGAGAGTCCATCGGTTCGTACGGCCCTGACGTCGCCGCTGTGTCTGGACTTGCTGGCTCTGTCTTTATCATCGACGGCGCTAGTAGCAGGCTATACGATTTCCCGTCGAATGAATCGACATTCCCATAACTCTGCTCTCGCTGCTGAGGATGATGATTCGGCGAATGATTATTACGCGCGCTATTATTGATATCATTTACGTTGTATCGATGCTCTCGATGTGGTGAATGGTAACTCGTCAAAGTTTGATATATCTTCATCTCGTTTCTGCCATCAAAGTTAGCTGAAGCTGCTTCTGCATCTTGCTGTCCGTCTCCGTTTAATACGTAGTAATTGCGGTCCTGATCCGACTGCGTGTTTGAGTATCCATGAACCTCTGGTATGTGAACTCTATCTTCGAGTTCTTCGTATAAACGAAGACCTTCCGATGAATATCCTGGATAACGAGATGTCCCTAGACATAAGGGCAAAATTGTGCCGGTGGTAGTAGTCTGAAGGCTATATTGGGGCGAGGAGGGTGCACTGCCATGCGGAGGATGAGAAGGTGGGGGCCCTTGCTGTGTAGTCAGCTCGTCGCCGTGCTGTCTGGCGAGGTTGAGGTTCAAGGCCGGCGTTACTGGAGTCACGGTACTCCCTGTAACTTCCGTCACAGTATCCGATTTAGAAACACTCGTAGGAGAGGCAGTTGTCGATGAGACGGTCCCAGTATTCCCATTTTCGATGCTATTTCTGAGTTGCTCCTCACATTGCAGCCATTTTTGTATTTGACGACGATGAATGCCGTATTTTCTTGCAGTTGCACGCTGATTCTGCCGGCAATCCTTGTCGTTTCTATAGGAATCCAAAACCTTGATTTTAAAAGCTGTTGTAAAAATACGTCTGGTACCCATAACGCCCACAGATTTTCGCATATTCTGCTGCTGATGTTGTTGATGCACTGATTGTTGGTGCTTCGAATGAATCATTTTCACTGAGTTATCCTCACTGAGCATCTCACTCACGTTATAGAGTTTTTATTTAAAATATTACACACACATAACTTTGTCGCACTTATAGCAATGGCTGTCACGTCGACCACGAGTCCAAGTATAATGACGATGCAGGTAGTAGCTAATTTCGAAACCGGCACTGTCAAAGACGCACGAGACTACCTTAACGCTTAACATTGCACGATGCGATCTGACCGTGCGGCGCCGGAGTTCCTTTTAGGTCTTGGATGCCGTAACTAATTTTTCATCCCCACCGGCGAGTCTGCCGCTGCTTCTCACTGGTCTTTCCCCTCCGCTCTATCGCCATCTCTTGCTCTCTCGTTCCCTCGAGCTTCTCTCCTTGCACTCCCTGCCTCTCCTCTACGTACCCCCACTCGCTCGTCACTTCGTTTAGCGCTATCTGCGTTCAACGTATCGCTTGCATCGTTTTCCCTCTTTCTATCTAATGGTCGCCCCCTCGACACATCGTTGCCCCATTCGTACAGCATGCTAGTCTACCGCTGAAGGCGGCTACTAGTCATTCTTCTTTCTCTATGCCACCGACCTAACCTCCTCTCTTTCTACGGGATCTCTCGTCATTCTGCCTCGATCGCCTACCTAACTGCCCGCAAGCATAGACACCCTCCACGTCCTCTCCTTTCTCTCTTCCCTTTCACACCTCAGCGCCGTAAAACTCCGCCATTTTGTAGGCTTACTTCCGTTAATGACGCGCGCGGGAAACGTCACGCCGGCGTGACGACGACGCTCTCGGCGCCATGTTGTCTGCGAACGTCTGACTGCCTGCTTGCGTGCCGCTTAGCAGTTCGCCGTAGCAGCCAGCATGGAGCCCCGATTTTTGCTCGCCTTTCTCTTCAAGCTGATCCTGTCTCCGTTCGACTTCTCAAAACACGAGGTCGAACACGCACGGAATGTAACATTCCGAGCTTTTTTATAATTCATTATATGGCATTATATACAGCGTCCGTAGATTTAAAAAAATGGAAATAGTATTATCGCATAAAATTTAAACGGATTACAATCAATCTCAAAATCTATTCCTCGAAAAACTAGATATGTAATTTAGATCAGGTCGCTAACGTATGTCAAGATATGAACATTATGGGTATATATATATCGTGTGCATGTCCAACTTGGCGATAACACAGGAACTTTTAGTCAGGTAAAGCGGCTAGTGGGTGAGGGGATTTTGCCTTCCAGGAAAAACGCTTATGGCTTACAGCTAATGTTAGGCTTATTGAATTAGAAATCGCCTGTCTTATAACTCTACGATAAAGTAGAATTGGAATAATTTCCTCTAGTTGAAACTAGTGGCCCTTCAATTTTATCATTAAGTATCGTTATTATCAATACATTCGTACTTATATAATCTTTTATTAATGAAAGGAATCCCGCTTTTATTTTCTCCTTTTCCTTTCTTTCGTTTCTTTCCTTTCATGCTGTTGGAGTTGTTTTTGAATGAAATTTTGAGGTATACGATAGCCTCTTGCATATGCGCCGTGGAATGAGATCATGTTGTTTTTGTGGCGTGAGCCGACAGTTAATATGTTTAGCTTCACGCACCGTTGCCATGTCTCTTCTTAGCCACACGTAGGCCGCAACGCATACGAACGCGCGGAGAGACCCGCGAGGCAATGACGCAAGCCGTACGCTCGCATATACTTCGATGAACGAGCGCGTGAGCAAGATAGACCGATAAAAAGAAGCGGACGAGGCCTCGTAAATTTCCACGATTCGCGCCACCAGCAGAAACCAAGGATGCCGACGAATCCTCTCGCAGTTCTCTGAAGAGGCACCCTACTCTATTTCCAAGAATCACGGCGGCTATTCTTGTGCCCGCTGATCACGATGAGGCCTGCTTTTGAACACGTCCGCCGTGCAGCAAGAAGGCACCTGCCTTCTCGCGTAGATCGGCCTTCGTGTAGTTATATAGGCACGACTCATCGCTCAAGTATTCCACTACCTGCGTCCATGAAACCGAGAAATCGTCTTCCCGCCAGTATGCTATGTAAGCAATTGATAATAATATCAATTGTACGGCAATATGTTAGCCGTTCTATCAAATAATTTGTCTAAATTTTTTATTTGTTTTATGCTATGCTTGACTAAAGCGATGTACATGCAACTTCTTTACATACTACTCTTATCCATCTATTTCATTTATTATCCATCCATTCTACATATCCTGTCTTTCGCGTTTCTAGCGAGCAAATGAAAGTATTCGCTGATAATAATATTGGCGACAAGTATCATAAGGAAAACATCGAGGCAGCAGCAGACCGGCAGTCGCCTAGTGCGGCACGATGGCTGGCACGGCTCGTCGGATTTGTCCTTGGGGCCGAAGGTAGGCGCAGCACGAAGACAGAGGACGTGGCAACACAGCAGGCGCCCCCTCTTTTGTCCGCCGGCCGGTCTTGCCAGACAGGGTGTCGCCAGCTCGGTCGGCCTGGTCGTCCGGGTTAGCGCGAGGGACGAGGAAAGGGAGAGCATGACGAAGAAGGAAGAAGGGAGAGTTTACGTATATGTATACACGTCTGTGTGCGATAGAGCAGCACTAAGAGGGAAGAGACGCGCTATGGGGGGAATCGTTCGAGCGGTGGACGTAGGAGAGACGAGACGAGGGACGAACACAACACGCAGCCTGTAAGAGATCGTTGTGTGCGTATTATAGGATCGGTCATGGACCTACATTCACGCAGGCCAGGCATGTTTGAAAACTCGCGTTCTTCTGGAATGTGGCCTGCGGAGCCCCCTCCGGCAACCTCCCCCTTTTCTCCTCATTCGCCGGCCCTGCAAGTCTCTCAACGCAGTGGACGTTGCTCGGACGCCTACCTACACCCTCTCCTTGCCCCGCCGTCTTTCCATGATCCCCCGTTTACCAGCCGCGGCCACCAGCTTGGCGCCCCAAATAGTCGCGTAACCAAAGACGCGCCTCTGGCCTGGCATGGTCGCGCCAGACTTCTCGGCGCCCAAATGATGTACGTCGACCATTTCTGTCTCTCTTCTTTCCTTGCGCTCGCTCACGCGGCTGTTATAGCCTTCGCTTTCCGCGCTCTCCTTCCACGTACTTATGCACAAGCACGGCTGGCGGAAAGGAGGTTCTATAGGAATGATAAAGAACAACGAGAAGAAAAAGATAGATGAGCCAAGTCTCTATTTACCAATGTCCTGTACGAGATACTTTGCCTTTAATCCAATACTCGTGTGGCCATACGTGTCTTACTTGAACAACGAGAATTAGTTGCATAGAAAATACGAAATAAATGAAGAATAAGTTTGGTGATTTGCAACGAAAATCACATTAGATAGATTTTCAACTTTCTCGTTTGAGATGAAAGGATCAAGTTTGATGGCAAAAATGAGACAGGTGCTCGCCTACAAATGCTCAACTTCATGTGGGCGATAGATTAAATCTGATCTCAGAATCGTGTTAAGTTTTAGTGATCTGTGATGTTGGCCATCGTTCAAAAATTTGTGTTATTCTATTTTGTATATTTCGTACTGATCGTTGTTGCCAAAATTTGTTTCGCACATTTAGACTTTCATTCCCCACATCAAATTCTATTTCTAATATATGTTGTTAATTCTTCTTATTTCATAATGTTAGCTATGAATATATTGTTTGTCAAAGTATGTATAATACAGATTGTAAAGTAGACATGCTGCATTTTTAATTTAATAACTGATATCTAGTACTGGGGCTCTGTTATGTTTTTCATAACTGTGCAAGGTTTCCGCATATTACGCTTTGTATTTATAGTTTTACGAATATTTGCATTTTGAGTTGATATCGTGTATATAATTCCAGAGTACAATCGCTCGATAACAGCGGATTGGTTGCGGAAAGAATTCGTGAACTATGACACACGTTGCGAATGTAAGTGCGATAAGCGACCATGGTCATTGGGAAACAACTTGTATATGCGCATACTCATCTTTTATCCAGAATAAAGAGCGGCACTCGTTGAAATCGTAATCATACAGTTTATAAGCTAAACTACTTATTTATGTGTATACTAACTGGGAGAGCAATATACGTACATCATACGCATACAGTTGCGTTAATGTGTGAGTGCATACATGCAACGTACATTACATGTCGTGTATGTGTGCATAGCATCGAATCTAATCATATAACAGGGACGGATCGACTAATCGAAATGTTCATATATTTTTTAAATTAAATTAAGATTTATATTCCACTGATCTGAATGGAGGGAATATTTTAGGATGTAAATGTTAATAAGAGAATTAGCAGCATGGTAATAATGATTACTTATCAATTTTTGTTTCGTTACGAATAAAACAATTAACAATTCGCCAGCTTTCTATTAACTCTGCATTATATTTTCACAATAATATGTACTTATATTTGTTCTATAGTCGAGGATGATCGTTTTTTTCAAACTCAAAAGCAACGGATGAATAAATTTATCCAATTCATAAATTCATTGAACTAGCGTCCCTGATTATGCAACGCGCATATGTTAAATGCTGCGTGTTCGTTCGAGTTCAGCCTGCGTAGTTGAATGCGCCAATGTGTAGAAATATACCTTTTCCGTAGGCGGTCGAGCGATGGCGCCTACTCGTGCGCATACCTACCTACCTGCAGCCCCCGAACAGGCTAACCTCAGGCGGAGCCGCTCTCCGCAACGGCTCACGAAACTCTCGTTTCACCGAGATTCCTCCGTCCGTGCGTCACGAGAGAGATACGCCTGTCTCTATGCGTATCCGTTCGTCGCGCGCAGCCGGTAGCCGAGAGCCAGCCACTGCGAAAGCGGACAATTGAGAAGTGAACGAGCGGATGAGCGAACCAAGAGCGAAAAAACCCGATGAGCGAATCGACAGACAGACGCACGGCCGGAAAGACATATACACGAATGCATGGACGGAAGAACGGTCGATGCGATTGCGGAAGAATTCCGCAAACGCGGTGAGATTTTATCACGCGAGTGTGGACATTCAACACCGACGTGACACACGTACGCACACATGAGGGAATCGCGGTGCAACGTCGATGATCGTATTTTTTTTTACGACGAGCTTGACACATACATGTGCACGCACACGCACTAACCTTTATCTTATCATTGGCGAAGGCGAATCGAGGTTGACTGGTTGTTTGCTGTAGTATCAAGACTCGACGATTTAATGCGCGTTGACCAACGCTCTCGCTTCCTCTCTGTCTCTCTTTTCCTTATCCTACCGAGAAAGTAGAATTCCACGAGGGTGAAACACATCACCCCACAATTTCGATCGCGGGTGGTTCACGACGGCGCGAAACGCGCTGCAAACCCCCTCGGACGGCGATTCGCTTTATCGGCCGAGCAATTAAAAAAAAATGATACGCGCAGTAAAAAGATGCTGTTTTATCCGTGGAACGTGTTATCGATGGTTTGGTCGATCGATACTCTCTTGCGAGATAGCCGTAACAAGAATGTTACAAGAGCCCGAACAGCGTGAATAAAAAGAATTTCTTCATAACAAAATATTCATAAAAAAATAAATGTTAACTTATAAAAGTATATAAATCTTTTTTTTTGCGTTTGCATGAAATCTGCATTATATGGAAGGCAAACGTTATCGGGGTTTGAAAAATTATTTATAGGGATTTGCGTTTTTTTTTAGGTGTTATTTAAACAAATGCAATTGCTCTATCTTTAAGCATGTCAAATGATATCAGTCTATAATTATTCATCGCAAAAATGAACGTACCATACATGTGCACCATCGATATATATGTTTCTATTTTCAGATCGATTAGTCACTAGTTCGACGTGACGGTTTGTTGGCGCACGGCCAGGCCGCGCGATGATTTATTTACATAGGAGAAGTTGTAAAATACCAGTTATCCGATCGACAATCGGATCTACCTTAATTTAACGGGTTAATTTCTGAAACAAACGATCCTTGACATATTTTCTGTAGCTTCAAAGTTTTCGTAAATAACATTTTTACTTACGATTCTTACTGATTCTTTTACAGGGAAACGAATCTTATTTTATTTTTTATTCGCCAAAAATCAATTTGGTAATCCTGCAGGCACTATACCATTTCTGACAAGCAGCTGTAAATAAATGGTAACAAAAGAAAAAAAAAAGATTCTGTCAAAACTGATCTGAGTTTAATTATTGAAACATTCGCGTATATAAATAGGGTACAAATATATGTGAGATTGATGCGTATTGAGATGCGTATGTGTGTTCATTTCTGAATGTCTACTGCACAGTCCGACTTAATAATATATATATGTATATCATATATATATCTATATATATATATATAAATATATATACATTTTGTAAATTGTTTTGTATACCATAAGGAGTCACGTAAGTGTTTCTTCAAATAAATAAACATTGTTTAACACAATATAAATCTGATAAGAATTTAAATTCTAATAAGAACTTACTTCAATTCGTTTCTCTATCATCTCGTTAAAATATCCTGTAAGTTTAAGAAAATTTTCATATAATTCAATTATTAATGAAGCTACTTTTCTTAATCTTCCCTCGTCCTTTCGATTAAAAAATTTTTTGTGACCCTTCTAGAGCAAGCACCTTAACCGGAAGTCTTAATTTACTCCACTCAATTTGTGCTGTTTATGAATTATATAATATCTGTAGAGTGGAAAAAATCCGTCCCTAATACCAAATTGAAATGTATTATATTTCAAATGAATATGTGTTTTTAAATTACTTAATAATTAATGGAAATAAAATAATTGCAAAATTTATTCTTACAGAAAGAATATTTTGGAACCAAATATTTTTATGCTGTTACAAATGTTAATGTGTTTTTCTCCCGTCTCAACATTTACGCCATAAATTAACAAAATACAATATATTGAAGTATTTATTTACATATCTATTTTAAAAACAAATAAAGATTCTATTTTCAAAATAGATACTTGCGTACTCACATTCATTCATGGCAGTATTTGAAGAAACGAAAAGAGTATTTAGCAAGATATTCAGCGAATTAATTAATTGAGTGGAGTTGAGATAAACTGGGAGAAAATATCATTGTCCTTATAGAATTATTCAGCCACTTATCCCGCCGATAGTACATTGTACCTCGAGTATTTTTTGTTTTAACACTCTGAACACGCACAGCTAAAATTTCGATGGCCCTCGAGCTTCGGAAACACGCAGAAGACTATCTACACTTCAGTAACCGAATGATCGAGTGCTTCTCTTCTCTCATCAGTTCCAGTATCAGTACGAGTTTCACGAGTAGAGGTACTCTCGCTTGTAAGTCTTGAAAGAGCTTCAGCGGCTTCTCGTAAGAGGTTCATACTTTCAGACATTTCCTTCGATTCAGCTAACACTAATTAATCGTTATAATATTGACGTTTGTACTGGAAAATAAAATTTGTGCACGCGTGAATAAAGTTTATCGTAATTTTTTTTTTTTTTTTTTTTTTTCAAAAACTAAAGTTTCATCGAAAGGAATTTTTTAGTAAAAAGTACGAACAGCTTCAAGAATCCGCTAAATCCAAGAAAATATTTTCTCGGTTATTTTTTTTCCCTTCTTTCGTCTATGCTTAATCACTATCTTAACGCTACTTGTATCATTAAAGACGTTAGTGAAGCGTGAACCTTTAAATACCGCTAGTCTTGATGCGGGTTACAAATCGATCTCCGTTAACTAAAACCCGGGACTGCGTCAATCGTTCGGACAATGCCGAAAATTTTACTTTGAGCAAGACGAAAAATAAATTCGTCGCTCGCTCCTGTTCTCCTTGCACCCCGATCAGAAGTAGCCACTAGAGGACACAGTTAGCTGTTTCTAAGAATATTCTCTTAAATAAAGTCTACTGATTGCATTTTCAAGGTGGTCTTAGTCGCGAGTGAGCTCCGCGAAGTATGTCGTATGTGTACGTATACGTGTGTCTGTATGTATGTGTGCGGAAAGAGTCGGTCGCCAACTTTTCGACAAACACCTTCAAAGTCCGACATGCGCAAACCATCATTCAAATTTCAATCACAGTCGCTGATGTAGCATTGTGCTTTCCTCATACGTCAAAGATAAATCGCGTCAGCAAAATCCAGTCGCGATTGCTATCTCAACAATATTTCGGCACATTTTGGTGGCCAAAAATAAGTAGTTTGTTAAATACACACGTCCACACGAAGTGAATATGTATATTAAAGCCTGGCAGTCATCTAATATATTTAGAATTAAACGAAAATGTAATATTGCACTGTTACAATTTATGCATTTTCTTATATAATCTGTGACCGTCTTAAAATACGGCCACCTTCGTAAAAGTTATGATATTCGTGAGCTGTGTAAGCCTTGCTAAATATTACTTCAGCTTAGAAGAGTCGAGTCATCCTCTTCGTTCGAAAGTCCCGAGCTCGCGTAGGTGTTTGCATTTCAATATATGTATAGTACAAGAAATTCGTATAATCTTCATCGCGTCAGTCAAAGTAATTTTTAATATTTATGCAGACTTATTTTCGCGCGTTCTATTATTGATAGCTTTAAATAATTCTTTAAAAATGTCGGTCTATACTAATGAGCATCAGTGTTACTGATAATATCAGTATTCACTCGGACATCATATAATCGATTTCTATAATCATTATCAATGATGTTGCATAGAATATTAAATGCATTAAGGGCAGTTTCGATACGCGTTACGATAATATGATTACCTCTTTCGGATAGTGATCTTTTATCTTCCATCTTCTTATGCGTGCGCTTTATCCATTGTAGATATAATGAAAATGAACATACAATAAGGTATGAAAGGGCGAAGTATGAATCCTTTGATAACTTACGACATGAGTATGCGTGTATGTGCGTGTGAATGTATGTGTGAACTCTCGCACTCTCCCATCGTTTTTTTTTTCCATTTACTTTTGCAAATGCGCTCCGCGAACGAATCCTTTGCATTTTTTAAGGCATCATTTTGCGAGGTGTCAGCCACTTCTTCATATAGTAACAGAAGATCGTGGAGATATAAATGAGCACCAGAAGAGCGCACGTTACCCCGAGCGCCAGCACTGAGGTTTTCGTTGGACATGGCTCTACGATGGTCACTGTTTTATCTGGAAATAAAATGTCGCGTTCAGTTTGTAGCGAGTCACATTTTCCTCAGGGCTTAGAGGTGAGGCTTCTTTCGCGATTTTACCTGCTTCGTTGAAGTCTATGCTGGCATCACTCTTCAGAAAATCGGACTGCTTCTCATCGCCAAAGTCAAGCACCAAGATCTCTTGAGACAGAGTCATGTCTTCGGTTTTCTCCTCTGTCGAGTTCGCAATACTTCTTCTGCGTCTCTTGCCCCACGATTCCACGGATTCACGTCCCCACTCGCAAACGGCCTGAAATGAAAGAGATTGTTGAACACTTTCTTTTTCTATAATAAGAGAAACGAGAAGAAGTAATTAATTACCGGGTCGCAAGGTCCTAGACAGTACTTCACGTTACACTGGAAAATCACGCCGTAAGATTCGGTGAACCTAAAGGCCTCGTATACAGACTGCAAAGCGTTATTATCGGGAGTGAAACTGGGGAAGATGGAAGGATCGACGGGACATCTGAAAATTTAAATGTTTAAAATTTTGTTAGCTTTTTATTTTTTTGCCCAGCATAATCGGGAAACGTTAAACAGAATACAGTCGACCTACCCTTCGTCATCGATAATTTGAAATGTGCTTTTCGAATCCTTTGCCATAGCTACGCAACTGCGAGCGAAAATGCCGTAAGGAGCTGCAAAATATCAATATTAATTCTTGTGAATTGTCATGAATCAATCGTATCGTTGTTGAGATAATTGATGTTTTTTTTTTAAATAATGAATTTGTTGAAAGTGTAAACTTACTGTCTTCCGGGATTTCGATTCTAAACGTCAATTTGTCACCAATGCGTACAGTTTCAACTTCTCGCGATCGGCTGTCGAGGATGCGAATCCTCGGTGGAGGTGCTTCCGGTGCGCTAGTGATACTTATCATTTCCGGATCCCTGATCGGCATCATGCCGAATGTAATATTCTTCGAGGACATGTCGTATGTACATTTAACTTTGTAGATTTTGTCGGCCTTTGTCATTACCACGGAATGATGTTGCAGTACAACCGTGTTCGAATATATTCCAGTCTGAAAACCGTCACGCTGCCATGATGAAAAGAAAGTACAAACAGAGATTATGCACTCAAGGAAAGAGGGATGTGCGTCATTGTAAATTCTTTATCGACTTTATAAAAGATAAATAGATGTGATAAAAGATTTTTTGAAGTTGTGTATTGCATGATATACAATTGTGCAGTGTTAGTCAACGATAAAAAAAAACGTAATAGATCGAGGATATAAGAATATTGGACATATGATAAAGTGTTTGCATTTCGAGAGTGCTAATTGCTTAATTTAATTACTTCTAAACAGGCATATTTCGAAAACAATAAAAAATATTGTAATTGCAAATCTGTAATCTTTATCACGTACAAGAACTTAGAAAAATATAAATCAAAAATCTGAAAAAATAACTGTAACTAAAAAAATGGTAAAAAATGCACTTACAATATTTTTCAATATTACTATCATCATTTCATATGATACTTACCACGCTCTGAGTGTTACAATCTTGTCCGCTCATCGTCAGATCGAGCCTGAAGAGATCGCTATTAATAACATCAATATTACACGTCTCAGATCGTCCGAGAGCGTAAATACGCCCATTGAAAGGCTTATTTGTACGAACTTGGACGGCAATACGAGTATCTTTGCAGTCGACCGACACTGGAATTTTAATCATTAAGATATTTACATTTTTATATAAGATATTCCGTTATTAGAGAAGATATTAATTCCGTACCATCGTAGCAAGTTCCGGTCTTGTCACAATTAATGTCGTTTCGAGTGAGATTGTTTATCGTAGAATCTTCCGTGGTCTCGAAAACAACCGGCAACGGGTCTGATATTGGGCCGGTACCCTCTGAAATAACATACATGTTATATATCGTGCATACACTTTTCAACTCTTTTTAAGACATCCCTTACTTTCACAGAAATTCTCAAAGTAGGTGCCAACTCGTTCTCCATTATCGATCAAAGGTCTCTCCGCGTTAAGATATGTCGAAGGTCCGTCCGGGAGAGTCCAGTGATCCAAATGGAAAAGCTGACAATTGTAAGCTGACCCTTGAGGTGCGCCACGGTAAAGGAAGGATCTGCAAAGAAACTCGTTCTCGATTTCGCAGGCTAATCGGCAAGCGGACTCGCTTTGGACTTGCATCTCCTTATCGGTGTAATAGTGCAGGCCCGCGTATTGTGCAACCTTATCGTCCGCCACGCCGATTCGGGGCATTTGGAAGATCCTTTGAGCCTTACAGGCCTCCTTTCCTGTCAGCGCCCGAGTAAATAGACAGTTTTTATTTATTTTTCTGTTTTCTTCGAGATTATCTAGAATTATTTTTCCAACATTTTCTTCACGACCGTTTACCTTTTAAACATAAATTTTCGAAGTAATCTACTCCTTGCGCCTCTACGAATTGAACGTATTGACCCGTCGTTCGACGATCTGAATCGCTCAGATGACACTGGAGCGTCACGTAATTATACTCCACGGAACGACAGGTGAAGCGATGCTCGTTTAAGCAAGCCGCGAGACAAGCTTCCTTTGTGGATGTGTAAATTAATGCGTTGTCCAATCCGCGAATCATCTTGTTCGGGATGCGCTCGAAGGCCCAAGGTCGCAAACAAACGTTCTCTAAAATAATATATATATATATAATATATATCTATAGAAATAATTTTACTTCTCTTTTGCATCATGTATGATATTAGGCATATTTAACCTACCGATTTTTTTAAATTTCGTCCTTAAAAATTAAAGAAAAAACTAAATCTTCGGATGAAAACCAGGAAAATTATAGTCTTAATTCAAATAAATTTATAGTTTACATTCGAGGTTACAATATTAAAAATAATCAGATAAAAGATTAAATCATTAACTATATAAAGACACTATTAATAATTTACTCTTTAACTAACTGTTTTCTTCTTTGAAACGATGAAATGCTTAGCATGCGTAATAAAAGGCGGGAATTGTCAAGCCACCGTTGAAGATTCTGCACTGAAAAATCATAAGATGCTAGCATGTGACTTGGCATCACGATCTGATGTCGACGATGACGCACGTAACTACGCTCTTTGGCACAAGGGCCTGGGAATGTATTTCGGCCGAGCCCGTTCGGCGTTCCAATTTCTTTTGTTCCGCCCTCAAAACCGGCGCTAGAGTTACCGCCGATGGCGGAAGCGATGCCAACGAACCGCTGCGACGCGTGACTACTTCACGGATGAATCACCGCCAGTCGTGTAAATTTCTGGCCACGGCCGTTGACAAATCGTCCTGAACGAAGCTTCGTCAGGCTAATCAGGCGACGATTATTGCATTAATCATTAAATATTTACTATATTTAATTTTAAAACACCTCGCATCATTTTTATTGAAAATAATAAAATTGATTTTGCAATTTTATAATTAATATTGATCAAAAACGAACATCGCCACATTCTCTGTAAATAAATTCATTTTCTACAAACGGTCAAAGTTCACAAATGCTAGCTATTTAATTATTATTTCTTATGTATGTATAAATAAACGTCCCGTGAAAAGGGAAATCCTTCGTTCCTAAAACGTGCTCCCATTGGAAAAATACTAATATTTTTGGAAACACGTTTTAAATATTTCAAATTCACCCGATTCCATTCTGTCTTCTCAAGAATTGTGCGGGGTTCTTTGTCATATATTTTACGATCGGGGATAAAGCACAAGGGCGAATTCAACTAGTGAATGAAGTTTCTTCTTTCCACGAAAACTGAAGAAAAGTAAAGCTTACGTAAAATTCTTTTGCACAATTTGTGATTTGCACAACAAGCTGATTTGTAACGATCAGCGAAACAAAGCCCGTTCTTTCTCGAAATTTTCGTTCGTCTTGTTCGTAACTCGAAGTAAGTAGCAAGCGGTTTTATGACGAACAACTAAGTGCCTCACGACGCGGAACAACTCGCCAAGAAAATCGCCCTACTCGTTAAATAGACAACACGCAATTTCTTGAAGCGCAAGAAATTTTCCTCCGGAAATTCCCGCTTGGGTTATCCTCGCGTGTCAAAATCCTGAATAAAATCCGGCATTGCCAATGTTTAAAGTATAAAAGAATTTCATGAAGATGCTTAATCATTAAAAATATGCAACTAATTTATAGAAAAATGAAAAAATGTACTCCAATAAATTAACTAAAATAAATAAGCTTCTCGAAGGCCAGTGTCTGCGTATATGTACAGTAGAGCAGCTTTTTTCAGAAGAAATAACTGGAAATATATTCCCTTCGGATATCATTGAACGTTCAATGCGATTAAATTTCATATCGACGCATATGTTCATATATGAAACTTATCATGAATTTCGCAGAAACAGAGAGATTCTTTAAAACTCCTTCGGTTAGTGGTCCAACTTGATAAAACGTTTCTGTAAATAACTAACTGTGCGGTACACATCTAAAGACATTGAACAGGCTTAAACTAATATTAGAGTTTCTTTGAAATTTCAGGAATTTTGAAGAACTTTTGTGGTCCTGCAGGTAGCTGAACTCGTGACAGCTATTCTGTTTAAATGTATCCGGCACAGTTCCACAGAACCAGCACATTACTTGTTACAAACGGTTCGATTCTATGATGAGAAAACCTACCGAAAAATATTCATGCAAAATCTATTTTGCATGAATACGAAGGGTCGAAAAATGGACAAAGAACTGACTACCTGGTCACCTGTGAGAAGTGTCTTGTACATTTCCTTAAAGAAAAAAAATTGAAAAGTGCTAATATTTCATTTAAACCTGATACTACAACGTTTGCTGTAATAATTACTATAATAATTACTGTAATATAATTGTTTAAAGTAAAATTAATTTTAAAATATTATTTCCAACATAAGTTCCTTGGTCATTTTTATCAGTATATATCGATAATATATTACGTTATATATTTTCTCTTATTATAGATAATTAAAAATTATCTACAATATTAATATATACATAATTTTTAATTATCATGGATTAAGTAATAAAATATTTGCTTGATTATCGTTTAATATATTATAAATAATATAATAATATTTCCTGCATTAGATGTCCGACTTATTGTTAAATGTATCTTAATTGTGAAGATACGTGACGTTTATTGTACCTACTTCGAAGCAAATCGAATCGCTAAGTTCTTTTCGCTAGCCGCACTTGACAGTTGTATTGTTTGTTCGGGTGACCCTTTTTTCTATTCGACGAAATGCCATTAGCTAGCATTCGCTTTGTGAGAGCGGCTATGCTGCGATATGCCGGCATATCCGCCCGCTTTGAGTTTAAAACTCAGATTATCGTATTTCACGGTCTATTCTTCGTATTATTTTGCCGCGCACATAAATATCGTAACGGTCTTTCCCATCGTAAAAATTTCAGTCTTGCGTAAATTATTATTTTTTTATTTGCTATTTTTCTTTTTCCGTCTACTACGCTTTCATCCGCCGCTTCTTAGGTACTGGGTTGACATTAACGAGTATTAACAAAAGCAATGTGTTTTTTTTTATCTAAGGAACGTTCAAGTATCAGACGCGAAACGAATGTAGGTGTCAAAAGTGAATGCAAGTGTTAATGCTTGATGGATGCACCAATTCTCACCGGATCTTATCTGCAATTTCGTCATGTAGTACATATTGGCGGCCCTTTGGGGCTGCGCGGCCGGATTCGTGGCGGCCGTTTCGTTCTGCAGCTGGCAGAGGGTGTCCTGCATCGGCGCCAAGGGATTCACGACGAACGAGAACGCGGCGGCCTGACATTCCGTCTCCTCCCTGCACCATCCTTGGCACTCGTACAACGACAGATTCCTCACGCTGTAATAGGTAGTGCCGCGGTAATCGTAGTCGGTGAGCTTCTCGAACGCCGTTCTGGCTGAAACGTGGAAGCAATTTTGCCTCTACAGACTGCATCCCCAGTAGTTACTTCCATTACATGAGCAATTGGAAGATTCTTATAGAATTCTATTCAACGCAAATTCCCATCAGAATGTAATGACGAAAGCCTCGACTAATTTTAGAAAAAACTTACCCAACGCAGCGTTGCCGCTCGCCAACAGCGCCATGAATATCAGGCTCGCGGCCGTGGCTGCTACCGTTCCGATCGCAAACGAGCCCATCTGCAATGAGAATGAGGAAACTTGAGTTACAGAAGCCGCAATTAGAATCACAGCCTGACCGAGTATTGTTCCTCGAGTTGGCGCGGTGCTAACACGAGGAATAATTTTTGCCCCACATACGTACGTTAAATAATAATTTAAATAAAAAAAAAACACGAATGTATATAGTAAACGCACTACAAAGAATACGCGTAGCATTGCTTCTCCAACGAAGCAAATACCTGAATACTAATGCAAACGGTCGCTCGCACGCTAATCCGGCAAATTACGCTTCCAAGTGATCGAATACACGTTAATCCGGCATAATTCTTGATCAGACGGAGATTCCGAGAATGAAAGGTTAGAGTTAATCACCCTGGTTACACGCCTCATCACGCGTGGAGAGTCTGCTAAGAGACGTGATTGCCGTTTGCTGAACGAGAGTTTAGCAACTCATCAAAAGCTCGAAAAGACAATTCCGCCGAGATACAGTCGAAGAAAATCGCATCGTGTTCGCCATTCTGCCGAGTTGTATTCTTGTAATCTGTTCGCGCGCTAGTTAGGAGCGTGCGAATGCTGCAACTTCTCGCTCACCGCACAGGACTACGTTTTGCTTGTGTTTCACAAGACCGCTTCCTAGTTTTCTCCCGTTTTTCTTTCCGTACCTTTCCCGCATCTGGTTATGCGGGAGACGCCCTTCTCTCCGTACTCGTCAATGTCATGCGTCTCGATCCTTGCCGGGACAAGTTCCATCCCCTGGCCTCCTGAGATCGGCTTTACGTTTACGCTCTCTCTTTGGTATCTCGAATAATTTATCTCGCGGTAATAACAGCGCCGCGCACAAGAAATAATTCGACCGACATGCGTGAGCATCGAAAATAGAACGTGCGTCTTTCCGTTACCTCACAATCAATCTTTCCTTCGCCCGTGGCGGACATGTCACGCTAATGCAGGTAATTTCTGAGACACGACCGCATTTTCGTTATCGCCCTTAATTTCTCTATATACAATGTGCGCGCAATGTTAGTAATAAATAAGAATCTAATGTCTGCAAATCGTAAAATGTTCTACATATCGATATTCATTCATCTACCTGTCTAATAAAGTTGTCCTAATAATATGCTTCTACAAGACAATAAAATTCCATGGACCTCTTTTGTCTCTTTGGCACTGAATATACTCTTCGCGGATGCTCTAAGACTCTGAGCAATGCCATTATTACGTAAATCTTCGCGCAACTGTAGCTCACCCGATTTCACAACAAGAGTCAGCTATGCTGACCAACTTTCTTCCCGTTCGCATGCACGTCTGATTTGCCAGCCTACATTACGATAATGCGATAACAAGAATGCAGATGTGAACATCATACCCGAACGGGCTCGAGATCAGCCACGTAGTTTCGTGGAGTTCGAGGTCACCGAGTATAATAGAGCTCCATTGGAGATCGCCAGGGGGAAGGAGAGCCACATCGTGGCCTGCACCGAGGCCAAAGGTTCATCCTCCCCTCTCCCATCTGCGGCCCCGTAGCCTCTCTTCGCGATCCCGCACCCACGAGATGCACGTCGTGGCAAAGTCGCGCGCTAACAATGAGGAATGCGCTTAGGCGCGCTCGGTAGGCAGGTTGATGCACTGTTACGAAGATTAATGCGACTACCGAGGTGAAAGAAATGCGTGCGCGCGCGCGCGGAAGAAGCGCGGATTTCTTCTTCGTCTTCCGCGAGGTCACGAGTTACCTGAGAAACTCGGATTTCCGGGATTTCGCGATACCTAACCTTTATATCCGCGCATAAAGGGCATAAAAAATTTCAAAATTTAGTGAAATTAGCACTGTTTCAGTTACACATCTCGCTTTGAAGTTCGCAAGCTCGAAATCGAGCGGCTTAGGCAAGGATAAACGAACTCCTCGTTATCTCTAGCTACAATTACGACATATTCTCGTGCTCCAATTCGCGTCGATTTATATCGAGCGGCGATTAAGATATGCAATGTGGTAGCACCAACGACCTTAACGATCTCACGGTGCACATCGTGTCTCCGGCCGTCGTAGGCGCGGGAAAAAATTATTCCGCGTACGCACGATGCCCCTGACCTTTACGTCACAACCGGTCCCGTCTCGCGCGAGACCTGGTCGACGAGTTCGCATGCTGGTGATGTTCCGCAGGCGCCCAAGGCGCGTTCGCCACGCGAGATCGACACTTCCGGTAATCGTCGATGCGCCCGTGCGAACCGCACGCCTACCGTACTTGACGAGTCGCCTTTTTTCAGAAATGCGTTCCCCAATAGCAAAGGATTTGATTACTTCCCGCCACGATACCGCCGATGATAATCATTATGATATATGGATACATGATTAAGTATCAATTATAAGAGATTGTTAGAACAGTCCAGCGATTAGCGAAGAGGAAAAATGGGATTTTTATAGGTTTGACGATCGTGTATTGTTTGCTTTCGATGTCGTAAAACGGCACATTTACAGATTAAACGAGAAGTCGAGTGAAAAAAATATCACTGAACATTTTTCAACATACATAATGTTTAATCGCATGACAAACAATTAAGTAATTTTATATTAATGATTATTACGGTTAGATGTATGCCCGTAACGTTTATCAGAATCCAGAAATCCTCGTAGACAGTTAATTACCGAGTCACGATCGCCATCCTTGGATAATGTAACGTCGTGGAGGTCTTGTACTACATAATTATGACAGGCTCTCGAGAGTCCATGAAGATTCAATTACGGCGTCACGAGTTAAGCTGTCTTTTCGAGAACGGATCGGGCGTTTATAGGGTCGTTTATGATTCTTGCAAATCCGTTCTGCGTACATTAAAGAGATGCATTACCGTGAACTGCAGGAAAATGCACTAAACCATCCTACTATTTTATTTAACTTTATTTTACTGCTTTCAGAAAAATAATAAAACAATTTACATTGTATATAACGTCCGTTTTCTTATAAAAAAACTTCTTGGAGATTTCTTAGAGAACGTCGTAGACGATTTGCAACGTAAGATAAACTGCCTAGAAGTAGGATCGTAATCGTTGTGTTATGCGCCAGGAAGACGCGCTTGAACACAGCCTTCGGCTACTGAAACATGCAGATTTATGTCCCATGCAACGTCAATGCCTTTCGAATTAATGGCTTCACCAAGGAATCTCTCAGAATACTAGAGACGATGGCGGCGCGCCGGCTTGCTCTTTCTATTATTTCCTATATTTGTGGAGAATCGCAACAGAAGAAAACACGTCGGCGGTTAAATGTCTAGTATTTCGCAGAATAATTTCTCATAAGTGCGTGTACGAAGCTTGATAATAATTGCTCGGTAAAAAAAAAACATTGTGAATGAAGTACTATTATCTCGATTAAGGCATCAACTGAATGTGAATCGACGTTCCGTCAACATTCGCCAGTTCCGACCTACGTGGTTACCTAGGTGGAACTGATTAGACGGTGGAGAAAATTGTTTACTCGCTGCTGCATCCCCGACGTCGGCGAAAGGGAAAGGGGAAAAGTTTTACGGAAAGGCAGGATTGTTATTTCTGCTAAGAGCACATATATCGCACACGTTGCACTCTCACGTATATACCGTCGGCTCGTCTTATGTATACCTCGCTCTTTCTCTCCCGAATGATGCTGCGATAGGGCGAGCGCCAACGTTCCTCGGCGTTCCGAGGAGAGGAATCATTCCTTCGTCTAGGGTCGCTTCACACCCTCTCGGCGCGAAGCGCTTCCCGTCACGATACTACATCCGCTTTCGTGATGAATCAGTCTGCTTACGACTGGAATTTACATGAAAGCGAAAAGCAGACTTTCGTGTGAGCGCATGGCACACGAGAAATGTGAAGCTCGCCCGAGTAAATAGCGATGCACGAGGTAATGCGATACACGGCGTTTGTGAGTAATTAGAAAACTCTTGGACAATTATATAAATGTATAAATATATAAATTATATATATATATATATATATATATATATATCTTTAAATTATCCGTATGTTATTTTATTTCAAAGTAGAGAAATATGGGAGATTAGAATCGAAAATAAATTGACTGAAAGAAAACTTGGTTTTCTGGGAATTGATTCCTTTTGTCACATGTATCTGCAGCTCACGAGTCGTTAAATATTTGCGCGCAACACCGGGTTACCGCGATGAACTCGATGAACTACGTAGGTATCCCCACGACGTAGCACCAGTGTGGATTCATAAATAATGAGTTCGCAGGAACGCGAGAATAGGAGGAAGGAAGCAGAAGAATGATAGGAAAGAAGAAGTGAGGCGAAAACCAGCGTGAAAAGACGGATTCATAAACAATGAAGGCACGTAAATCGCGCTTAAGTAAGTTTCTCGTTGAGAGCAGCTGGGATCTTCAGAAAGATTTTCGCGGATGCTCAATTTCTTTTCCGATATTTTATCCGTCGTATGGACCGTGAAATTGACGTGGAATTCGCCTCTTTCTTCCGTGAGAAAAGAGTCGGTAAATTTACACCACAATATAATGGCACGAGAAATTTCTGAAACGAATTCTTTATAATTGATCAAAAGGCACGTTGATTTTAGATATAAAAAAGTATGTCACGTTGTGTGTGCCTCTGCAATTCTAGATAGCGTGGGACTCGCCGCGACCGCGACGAGTCCGTGAGAAGCGTGATGGGCGCAGGAACCCGAGGATCCATTGCCTTTCAGCGATCAAGGCGAATGATAACTTGGGATCGGCCGATCGATCGATCGATCGATCGAACCAACGGATCGTACATTGGAATGCACACCAAGCGATCTCGATAAATCCTCCAAGTAATTAGCAGCTAGATCGTCGTCGGTGTACCATGCAGAAGACGGGCGAAGACAGACGAACCGAAGACGGAACAAGCGAAGTAAAAAAAAAGAAAAATATGATTACGCTGCTATGCTCCCCCGCGGCGGAAGACTTCGTCCTGGTGCAACGACCTGCGCGGCGTAGGAGCCCTTTCCCTCTTCGCGCTATCACAGCGCGGGAATAATAATCAAGGAGGCGAGAGAG